AATAAAGGAATTGATACATATGCAAGCTATATCAAGGTGTCAAAAGTAGTAGTCGGATTGTGCTTTCATTAACAAATCTCACTTTTAAATAATTGTGTAAGAAAGAATCATTTTCATGGGTACACACAATTTTAGAGTAGTCATATTAAGATCAAATGTACTTGCAAACAGATGAAACATCTTAGATTGCTGAAGGGAACATAATCGTGTAAGGGATCAAGAGGAACAAACTGGAGACTCGTTGTTGATAAGAAAGAACAATATATTATTAAACGATTTTTTTGAGTACTTATTTGGTGGAACTCTATCATCAAAGGTTGAATATCAAAGAGACCTTCAAATCCAACAAAAATCAGTTGTAACTATAATGTGTGTGGTGATTAGTGACCGTTAATCGATAATTATTCAGAAATCGTGAGATGTGGTCTGGTGTGATGTAGGTTTCAGAAAAACATTTTCTTTATCGTGCCAATGTTTCGATCTTTATTGAGATCATCTTCAGGGCCTGGGATTTACAAACATTGTTTACATTTAACAAATACATTTAGGATGAGGAAAAGTGAATTTATACAATGCAAAATATATTTTTTATATTCAATCAAAGTATTTCTACTCACTCAAAGTGTTTGTCTTCTGTGTAATTGTGCTATTCTTGCGTGTCGTGTTGAGAGTGCCAGTGAGATTTTGCTGTTTTGTGTTTATATACGATATATTGGATTTTGAAGGGGTGGGGATGGAAGTCGGTATAGAAAAAAAGACATTTTTGTATAAGGCGTCGGCTTCTTTGAGGTGAAAGGAGCCGACGAAGGGAAAAAATGTGTTGGTAATGGTTCGGCCAGATTATCCTTTCAGGATTATATAGAAAGGGATAAATAGGAAAAGGAAAGCTAAATTGTTGGATAATTAGGCTATGTGAAAAATATTTGATGTTGGCGTAGCTGTGGCTGAGTTAACATGTATCTGTTCTGTATGTAATATTTTGGGATTTTTGAAATCGAAATTGTGTTGGTGTTCAAACTGGTGGGTAGCGAGTGCTGTAGGATTTTGCTTGGGTTTTTTGCAATCATAGATATGTTGCTTTACTCTCTTGTCCAGATATTGGAATGTAAGACTGATGTAAGTTGCCGGACAGTTTAAACAGTTGATCTTGTAGATTGCGTCAGATTTATTTGTTATTAGTGTGGGATCTTTAATTTTGGAAAAAACTGTGTATTGTTTTATAATTCTTGAAAGCTATTTTGAAGTTAGAAATGGTTTTAATGCCGTTCAATTTTGAACATGTGAAAATGCGAACTAGTGATTAATTTGTATGTCAAATATTAGGTACATTTCAAAATATATTTTATTTATGCATTTATCTCCCATGTTTGATTGTAATTTTTTTTTTTTTAATTTATTCCAACCGAGTTCCTTCCCTTTCTTGAAACTATGTAATGCTGTTAAATTTAATTAAGTTCAATTAATTAATTTTGGAGGAATTCTTTTAGATCCTCTAGTGTTCCTGACCATATACATAAAGTTTCATCTACATATCGTTCCCCCCCCCTAAAAAATTTTTTTCGGAGTTATCCATGAATATTTCAACACAAAATGGGGATAATAGAGATCCCATTGGTAACCATTTCATTTCATAAATTTACTATTACATTTACAATAATTTGATAGTAGGCTTATATTTAAGAGGTCTATTATATCATTATATCATCACTTTTTAACATGTAAAAAAGAATCACAACACAACTAAATATCTTACTCTATCATGTTGAGAGATGTGTTCAAAACATCTTCAACTTGATGATGAGTGTTTAATGTTTGAAATACCAATGGGTTGTAAACAACACTTGTAAGAACCATCCTTCAAAAAGTGAATTAACATTCCCCATCTTTATTATGTCTATTAAAATAAAGAAAAAATTGTGATGCCACTTTTTCCAGCACTCAGTGAGTGGGTAGCTAGGTGGGCTGGAGGTATGAGAGAGCATATAAAAACTTAATCAGAATTCCATAGTGTTATCTGTTAGTACCCTCTTAGATATTGATAGTGAAAGATATGTGCCAGAAACTATGGACACAGAAGAAAATAGAGGCAATAAGCACTATGCCAGGGCATTTCAATCTACTACTTCTATTAAATAAATACATTTTTATATCAAAAAGCATTTAAAAAATTAAATTTATGGGTATTTCAATTTGTCAAGTGCTTTCTTAGTACATTAAGCACAGTTGTGGAAAAGTTTAAAGCTTTTTGTTAATAAATGTCAAAAAGCTGTTTTACTTGTGTAGCTTATAAATCTAGTAAATGTGTTTTCAGAAACTATATTTTTATTTTATTTTTACACATCAACTGGCAATAACAAATTATTTTAAGACCATCACACTCCTTCACTACTATTAATTATATTACGTATAAAAATGAATGCTTGAATCAAAGCATATAGAATACATTTTTCTCTGCAAAATATTTACTTTTTGCCATTATTGTTGGTTAACTTTATAAATCTGACAAAGGTGGATAAAATTGAGAGATTTTTAAAGTCTATTAAATTGGGTATATTTTTAACACCTTGGCAATGAATTGTGTGTAAACACTGCTACAGCATGCTGGAAGTTGCGTTTGAACATGCATTCTGAATGATGTGTTTTGCAAACTGGAATTAATCCAAATTATTAATAAAAATACACATGTGAACAGGATTTTGTTAAATTGCGCAGCCAATCACACTAGTATTGAAAAATTAACCAATTAAATATATAGATTTGTTTCATATAAAACAAAAAGGCAATTTTGTACCTCTATAAGTTGTTTCTTTTGAAATATTATCTCATTAACATATATAAACCAGGTTTTCTATGTAGTAAAAAGGCAATTATTGTGTTTAAAAAATATTTATTACAGCTCAATTTATTTATTTATTTAAAAAAAGCAAATTGCAATAAACTAAACAAAATAATGCACAAACACTGTAAAAACAAAGATCTATCTGGTCAATGATAATGTACATTGTTGAAATTGTATAAATTACGTTTTGTAGCGAAAGTTTTCCAAATGAGGGCTCCTTTTATTTAAAACTTTATTTTTACAGTAATGTGACATTTCGAGCAGTTTGCCCATTTTCTGTAACGTATATTTATATATAAAAAGATTTTTTTTCTTTCTTCTTCTTTTTGGGCTGATTTATTGGTCCTTCCATGATTATTGTTTATAACATTGTTCATAGTAACAATCACAAAACTATAAGCAACATATTCAATTAATTAAGGTTTTTAGTTGAGATAAAAAAAAGTCATTGTCACAAGTGGGATTCAAACCCACGATCTTTGGTTAGATACGCCGCTGCTCTACCACTTATGCTATCGTGACCTTTTTTATCTCAACTAAAAACCTTAATTAATTGAAAGATATTAATTGGTCAAGCGGACCACGAAAACTAGTGAATTTAATTATAAACAATAACCATGAAATCAGTCCAAAAAGAAGATGCACAAAAAAGAAAAAAGAAAGAAACCTTATTACATATAAATATGTTTCAAAAGATGGGCAACTGTTCAATATGTCAACAACACTACTGTAAAGAAAAATATTTTTCATTAATTTAACATTTTAATTAAATTTATAAGTGTCTGGTGTATACTCAATTTGGTGCATTGACTTGCTTTGAAGATCTAGAGTAATCTTTGGACTGGAGTAGGACATTTCCTGTTTGGGGTATTTTATAAAAAGAAGCAACTGATACATTTGCACAGATAATATCCTTGCATAATTATTCTTCCATTAAATAAATTAAAAAAAAAATATATATATATATATTTTTTTTTTTTTAAAGCTGGTAATTATAGGAGAAAGAAAAATTCAAACATTTTGCTAACACATAACTAACATGAGTAAGGATTAACATATATAGATTAGTAGGACTTGGATTAATATTTTTTATTTTTAGGTTTATTTTGCATATTTTTATTTAGAAATTCTCCTTTGTCTATTATATTATCAAAATTCATGAGTCGAATTATCTTTGAGGCAGATGAAAGTACTCCTTTCGTTTTGGATTAAATTGATAGGATTCAATGATTTCAAAACAATTCAATATATTTTGATTGTATTTTTTATTTTCTAATAGTTTATTGAACAATATTTGAAGGAGAATTCAATCATTTATAAACTTAAAAAGTTTTCATTTTAATGAAATTATTTCCTGAGAAATGAAAGAATTATAAAATGTTTTGAACCATTGCTGTTATTCATGGTGGTCAGTTGTACTTTGACCCATTTCTCACCAACCTCACCACATGCTAGTTTTCCATTGTTTGAGCTTGCCTTAAAATGTTCACCAATGTCCTTGCTAGAGAGAAATTAAAACAAGTATTTTACTTAAATATCAATTTGATTAGGTATTATAAAAAGATACTTTATTAGTTTTACAAATAAACTATATGGTTTTAATTAACCAAAGTGATTATTTAAATTGATATATAATTTTTATATAAAATGGTGAGATGAAAAGTTAATACAAATTAATATCATGAGAGGAATTGTATATATAAATAACTTAACTTTTATCATTAATCACGTGTATTATTACTTGTGAACAACTTGTTTTCCTTTAATCATTCAGTGCCATTTCTTTGTGATATTTAACAATAAGTTTATACCATAACCTTACAAAAATATAATGCTCATTTCCAAGATGATTCAAATGCAGGTTCTAAATAAAAATAATTACATTTTCCTCTTTTCTTCTTCTTAATAAACCGATTTTTGTCTTCAAGGTATTAGTGCTAAGTTGTTGAGCTTCAAGATTGTTAATAAGATAAGATCCTGAACAACAAAAGGACAGTTGCTTTAAAACAACTTCTCAAAGCTTTGGGCTTTTTTTATTTAATTAAAAAACAAAATTATATTGCTTCGGCGAAGGGTAATATTAAAATTATTGAATTGAATTTCACCTGGGATTATGTTAGGTTCTTTAGATAAACTCATCCGTTTCTCTTTACTATTGAAGCTTCTCCATCATGCAAGGACGAATTGGATGGAGAAACAATAGTAACATCTCCATTTCATTTATTGGATCACAGATACGGTCGAACACCTCAGAATCAGAATCAGAGGGAGCCAACGAATTTGAGTAAAACTCAGGTGAATTTAATAATTTCAAATCATATTATTACATTTTTGAGAATTGCCTTGACTAATTTTCTCTATTTTTTAGGCGGTTAAGAGAAGACTAAACCTAGAGTCGCCTTCAGGTGACGAGGAATCTGGTTTTAAGACTCCTAAACCAAAAAAGAAAAGTAACACTGTTGCAAAATCAATACGAGGTAAGATCAGTAATAAAATTATAACCATTTATGTTATGAAATAATTTGAATGATTATTTAGGCCAAATGAAGACGCCTACAAGGTACGACACGTCGCTGGGCTTGCTGACGAAAAAGTTCGTCGAGCTCCTTCAAAAGTCACCAAGGGGCATTGTCGACCTCAATTACGCTTCAGTTTCTTTGGATGTTCAAAAAAGAAGGATATACGATATAACTAATGTCTTAGAAGGTGTCGGAATATTAGAAAAACGTTCAAAAAACAATATTCAGTGGAGGTTTGTTATATTTTATTATTTTGTGTTTTGTGATGAAATTTAACATTGGTTAACATTAATTTCTTTTTATAGAGGAGGCACGTACACAGAGTCTCAAAACGATGTGCAAAATGAAATAGAAAAGTTGGAAAAGGAAGAAAAACAGTTAGATGAATTAATTAAGAGAGCTGGTATGACAACTTTTCCCTTGGCCACTTAATATTTCAAACTATATCAACAAATTTGTAAATGCTTTCAGAGGAAGACATGAAAACGCTCATGAAGGAGACCCGATATGCTTATGTCAGTTACCAGGATATTCGGAGCATAAAGGCTTATGCAAACCAAACAGTTATGGTTATTAAGGCTCCAGCAAACGCCTGCATAGAAGTCCCACTACCTACTGAGAAATCAAGAGTGAGTACATTTGAATTTAACAAAATGAGGTTTTTGTAACTTTTTTTTTTTAAGGTTGAAATGCTCATAAAGACAGACAAAGGGGAGATTGAAGTGTTTCTGTGTCCTGATATCAAAGCAAGTAAAGAGGACAAACCAATTACTACTTCCGCCTCTCCTTCAACCTCAAAAGAGTCTCCACCTTCGGTCAGTGATAATGTTAAGTTATCCGTAAGTTTACTCAACCAACATGGATTCCTTGTGTTTTTCCTCTTTTCTCCCCCATTCCACTAATTCTTGTCTACTTTCTTAGGAATCCCAAAAGCAGATTCAAATAAAAAGTGAACCGACGAGTCAAATCCAGAAGGCTTTGATATCTGCTGCAGACGACTTCCAGGAACCATACCAGCTCCAGACGGAAGACCAACACAGTTCCGGTAACTTCTGGAATTTTTGATCTATTAATGCTTGCTTTTTAATGAACTCATTTGTAACACCCCCTTTTTATTAATTTACAATCATTTGCTTATACACTACTTTATACTTCACCATTTTTTTAGTTTACCCTGTTGCTTAGCTTGTTTTTGCATGGATTTTGTGTTTGTTAATTATCAAGTAATAATTTTTGGCTGTTTTCTCCCTATTATTTTGTAAATAATTTTCCCTCTGCGCGATACCTGACTAAGTATTTTCTTGCCCAATTTTTTTAGTCTATAGAAGTTTTTTCTTATTCTTTCTTTTATGTTAGTTACTTTTTTAAGTTTTAATTTGTAGTTTGTACCTGATTAGAAGGTTCCTATAAGAAATGTATTTTTTTATTATTAATTATTTTTAAATATAGTTTTTTTAGTTTTTCTTTAGAAAAATTATTTTCAAGATAATATTTTAAACAAAATTTTTGTTTATGAAGTTTTTATTCTTGATTTTTATTTTGTATTGCAAAATATAAATAATATAAACAAAAATTTGAGCCTTGTTGATATATTTATATATATACCCAAGTAGTTTCTTTTAGTGTGAACAATTATTTCATTACTAATCCTGGTGATGGTTGGTGCGGATTTTTACAAAAACTGCACTCATTACACAGCTTAAAAGTCAATCAAATTCAAAATGTGTGTTGTGTCACAAAAAAATGTAAGCTAAGCAGGCATTGCTGAAATTTTGGAGGAGGCGCTCACCGGGTTACAGAGCCTGAAGCTCAGTCGGTGATGTGTTTTCACTCATATCACAGGCTGAGCTTTTAGATTTTGTAATCCAAATTCTACGAGATACGTTCTGGGAACATCTAACGCACTTTATAATCGTAATTGTAAAGTAGCCAAGGCGCTTAAAGAACAACACTGCATGCTTTTACTGTCTAGATTTTTCAACGATACTTTTCATTTGGCAAAACGTCATCGTCAGTTATTTTCAGTTATGCATCCTTACGGGTCTGATCTCAAAATATACTTATATAAGCATCTTTCTGTTCATTTTAAATTATTACTGTAAATATTACAAACAAAAAAAATACCTCTTTTAAGCATGGTTAATTTTTCATGTTGTAAAAGTAGCCTTGTGTAGAACAAGTAGATTCATTTTTTTAACATTATTTTTTGAGTCAGTTCATTCAGATAATCTAAAAATTTTGTACATCTAAGAAAACGTAAAATATGTTTAGTGCACAAGATAGAAATAATTTGTTAATCAGGGAAGTTTTATGAATCAATTTAATTTAAATACAAGTTTTTTTGTTTGTTTTTTTAAGAACAAAATATATTATAGTTCTTTATATAAATATAAAGTTCTTTTATCATAAACCTATTGTGAATAAGAGAAAAGCTGGTTTTTAATCTGCTTATTTTTATTTTTATTATTATAATTATAATAAAACTAGTTTAAATTTTGTGTTCAATATGCCTTTGTGCAAAGTTAAATAATGTGTTTTGTTCTTTATTTATATAACGTTAACAATTGTTTTACATATTTTACTCTATTCTTCTTTTTTAGACGTTTCTTCAAAACTAACACTGTTTAATTGCATGTTTGTTACCATTTCTCTCTTTATTAATATTTTTATTTTTTTACTTTTTAAATTGAACATTTTATATTATACATATACTGTTGAAATGTAAACGTTTTAGCGTTGTCTACCATGACCACAAGTCGCAAACAGTAATATTACTTACAAATTTATATTAACATTAAGCGCTTGGCTATTAAGTGATTAAAAAGCTTGGCTAGAAGAGGGAGCTTTGCTTGATTATGCATTAATTGGTGGGCTGGATGTTGTGGTGGTGCAGATTTAACAACAAGTGCTGTAGCACCATTGCATTCAGCTTGCCAATGCTGCCACACTCACTGCATGCATTATAATGAATTAATTATAGTACATATTATTATAGTCATTATAGAATTGTGTTGGGATTTTTTTAAATTTTTTTTTTAACTTTTTCTATATATTAAATATATCTCTTATGGCTGTTACACAAAAATTTGTCTGATTTAATTTTTTTTTTAAATATAAATTTAGTGTATCGTGTTTATATTGTATAACTAGGATGCAAATTCTTGATTCTTTACAATTAAAAAAAAAAAAAAAAATCAAGGACACTTCAATATTATAGATGTCTTTATTTTTCCTATGTCTGTTACAAATAAGATTTTATTATTCTATCCAACACACATTTTGAATGTGGATACAACAAAAATTTAAATTTACTGTATATGTTGTTGAATAATACTTCCTGAATGCGGGATTGAAGATACTAACACATCAAAGACTGTTTAATCTTGGACCAAATCGGAACTTTTTTGTTTTGTAGCGAAAATTACCTGCATGTTAAAATAGTCTTTTTATTTTTTTTTATTGCCTTTAGAAAATAATTTTAAAATACACCATTGTCCAATATCACAAAAAAAAGGAAATAAATAGAATAATAAATTAAAACATTGATAAATTAGGCATGAATGGACTATGCGCTATTCCAGATCCAAGCTGAAATCAATTGTTTGTTTCTGGAGCATACATTTCACATACAGGGTGAGAGTTTAACTTCTGTTCCCACCTGTATTTTTTTATTGGGAGACATGGTAAATTTTCATTTTTTGTCTAGTTTGTAATGAGCTAAAAAGTTGTTGTCTAACTCTCCAGTATAACAAGTAAGGGACTTAAGTATTTCAAATTGCAAGATACTCATCAATTTCCATTTTTTATAGGTTTTTGATGCTGAATTGAATGAAATGGTGCAAATGGTTTTTAATTTGGAGCAACCATAAGTTTTGCAACATAGAATTCTGTGTCAAAAAAAAGTTCATTGATGAGTTTCTTGCAAGTTGAAGTTCTTATCCATATCCTGTTATCCTGGAGAGTTAGATCGTAACTTTTTTTTTCTCATGAGAAACTAGACAAAAAATAAAAGTTTACATATCTCGGGATTTTTCCCAAAAACGCCACAATAAAAATATAAATATATTTTAAGGTTAATTTTGTTAATTTTTTATTAATTTATGTTTTTAATTTTTCTTTTTTAACCAAAGTGATTATTAAATTGATTATATTTTTATGCAAAGCGAGGATGAGATGAAAAATTAGTGTCATGAGCGAGACACTTTACATAAAAATTATAAATCGTTTTATAAATAATCAATTTGGTCAACTAGGACTAACTAAAAACATGCAGATTAATATAATAATTTCCAATTTCTGAAGGACCTACACTTTGCTAACAGCTTCCTGCAGTCAATTCAGTTTCGCCGAGAATCGAATCCAATTACACTAAATTTGAATATTTGCCAAAAAGAGGGAAATTTGAAAAAGTTGTAGGTTGAGATGAATTAAGAGACCGAAGTCCCGATAACTCAAGTGGTTAGAGCACCGGTGTATCAAGGGTTGTGGGTGACTAATTTTTCATCACAGCCATTACATAAAAATTATAAATCAGTTTAAAACAAAATAAAAATATAGTGCAGGAACAGAAATTAAACTCGGCCCTCACATTAAAGAAAAAATAGCAGATACGTAAAACACAGTGTAATTCCATCTCACCTGCTCAGCATAAATGGATTACATATGAAATTCAAATACAACGGTTACTTAATCTTCTTTGTTTTAACTAAAGAATACGTCGGATTGTATGCCTTGTATGCATGCGGAGGTATGGAAAGGTTGCTTTCAAATCACGCGGTGTGAATAAAGATTAAGAGGTATAAAACGTAGAATTACAGTTTTGTAAGGTGCAGGAAAATAGTTTATACAACAGTTTAGGTATAGGTATGTAAAAATAATGTTTCTTCCCTTGCCCCCCCTTTTTTTAACCATATTTGCACGTCAATGCATTTGTGAGCCCAAAGCAATGAGATATTTTTAATGCAAAACTTTGCCGTGTTGATATTACGTGGCAGTGAGGATTTGATTAGGTCTCGACTGCTGGTTGGTCGGATATAAGAAATTAGTTTCATTCCATTCATTCAAATTATGATTTTCAGCTTGGAACATTTAATTTTAGAGTAAAATTGGTCTTGTTCATATTTCATTGTGAAAATAGGGTTTATAAAAAATATTAAAAAAATGCTTTTCATTTTGTAAGTATAAATGGTTAACGTTTAATTACTTTTGCATACGTGTAGGTAAATTAAGCATAATTGTCAAATAAAATTTGCAGTTATTTGTGACTATCAATAATTGTACTAGTGCATATCACATTCGCCTTCTTAGAGTTGCATGCTTGTACTTATTGTACTAACTCAGTTGTGTTTTTTATTTTTCCAATCTAGTTACCATTTTTCTTTTCTTTTCTTTTTTTTTTCTTTTTCTTCTTTTTAAATAATTTGTGACTAACGTCTATGTATTTTCCAATTTAGAAGCCGATCCTGACAGTTGTTTTTGTGACGAACCTTTCGTAAGTCTGGAGCCACCGATTTCAGACAACGATTACCTCTACAGTTTAGATCAGGATGAGGGTCTTATGGATTTGTTCGACTTATATTTCTGAACACTTAAAAAAAAAAAAATATATATATATAATTCATATATATAGTACAAATTATTATCTGGACAGATGCGGTTTTTTTAAATACTTAATATTACCCTTATTAATCATCATTAAAAACTATTAAAAAAAAGAAAGGATAAGAACTGCATAGAATGAAAAAAGACGTGAAGTTATGTGATTATCGTTTTAACCTTAATAAACAAAAAAGAATGGCAAAGTTTTAATATAGTCACTGGTCTAAGTACGAGAATCTGAATGAAAGGTAGACCCTATTTTGATGTACTTAGAAGTGATAACTGTAGGCATCTTATTCCGTTTATACCACTCTGTGCCTGTTTGTTACATGTAGCAATTAAGGATAACAATCTTACTTTTATTCATAAAAATAAATACTAAAAAACGGAAAAAATTATATATATATATAGAAAAGACGATTTGTAAATAGCGTTTTATTTCTTGATATTTAATCATATCTTGTAAGTGCGAATAGTTTTATAGTAATTAACTATTTTATTTAATCATATGAGATGTTAATAAGTGTGTGAATGAATTGGAATGTTTGCTATGTCAGTTGTATGAAAGGATTTTAAATGTTAATAGTCCAATGTGTTAATTGTATAATTATATTTGAGTAATTTTCATTCAACACTAATAATTTTTTTTCTAAATTAAGTTACAACTGATGTGCTATGCTCAATTTGAAGCAGTTAGGAATGCACGAATTTCACACCAAGGAAAACAGAGACTTCAAATTTTAAATTGGCACATTCTTTATATAATTTTTGCAATAATTGTGATATCTAAATCAACAATTCAAGAGTTATTTGGATTATTAATAATTTGTTGCCATTTATAAGTTTAGTAAATTTGGGCAAGCAATATGAGAAAACTTTTAATTTATTATTTTATTTTTAAACGCAATGAGGCCATTTGCAAAATTATTTAAGGAAATTGAAAAAAGTATATTTTTATTATATATTTAAGTGTGAAACTATTATAAATAATGGTCAGTAATTTTTATTTGTATTCAAATCTTTTTCTTCTCTAAATTGTGGTTGTACACTGATATTTGTCATAACTTTTAAATCTTTGTACAATTTTATACATTATTGGTTAATTTTGACTTATTTCATTTCAATTATTTTTTGTTGTGGTAAATGTTAAAAAAAGATGAATGATAATATCTCAAATAATAATTTCAGCGATGATCCTGAAAACAGGGAATTAGTACAAAACCTGTATATATGATTCCTTAGTTCTTAATTTCTCATTTTCATTGTTGATGGTGCCACAATGGCCCCGTTGGGATATGTTATTTGATTCAATTTCTAAAATATAATGTTTTTATTTTGTATTTTTAATTTTTTTGTTTTACATTTGAAAAATGTATATTTTTCATTGTAAAGCCACTTTCATATTCGTCAAATCAAATACCATTGCTGATTTAAAACAAAGATGCTGTATGTTGTACGTTAGAAAAAAAAAAGAGAGCAAACCAAATGTAATATATTATTTAATATAATGTACATCACATAAAACTCAATTTTTTTGAGTGGTTTTTTTATTCCCATTTATGAACCAATATGATTAAACTGTAGAAAAGTTAAAAATACTAGCAGTATGCCTATTTTATTGCTTATCTGGCATACAACAGTACTTTCTCTTCAGTAGTGTGCAGGAAATACTTATCTTTTAGAGGAAAATGCACATACAGAATCTAAGATGTATTTATTAATCACCCTTCAGATTTCCAATGAGTCCTGTCAACTAACCTGTTATTCTTTTAATTCTTGTTTCTTTTTATTGATTATAAAATAGTTTATTGTCCTAATCCTGGTTGATTCTTAGGCCTGCCTCGTTAATTGCTTTATAAAAACATGATAGAAAGTTAATAGGAATCGATTTGAGAACTATTTGAGCATAAATGGTCCAAGTTCAACCATCCTATGTTCAGGTTTATGGAAGATACAAGGGTCTTATGCTGTTCATGGTTGTAGGTAATCAATGTTTTTTATGTTTGATAAATGTTTGTGATAAGACATATTTATTAACGAGAATGTATGGTCTAAAGGAGTAGAAAGTTTGGGTACCCTTGACCCTCATATTAGAAGAACATCAAGAATAAGTGAGAGTGTAAATAGTTTTAAGTGAAAAACTGCATGTAAATGACCTAGCTGTAAGGCATCTCATTACATCAAAGCTGATGATTTTCACATAAGCTATGAGACATAGTTACACATGATAAATAATTCACTTTAAGATAGCGCATAACACTATAATCAACCGGCTCACTGGGCGTGCAGGATAGGTAAGTTTTGGAATTCATAACTGACGATTTTGCTTAAGATGTAAACGATCACATGACAGCTTGTGAAATCATAAACCAAGTAAATAGACAAAAAAATTAAGTACAAAGGAAAACATGTAAAACAGTTATTGCAATGGCCAAAAAGCATAATTTCAGATAGCAATGCAACCATCAGTGTGATGAATCCCAATGCCTTTACATGTGATGAACCTGAAGTTCATTTCTAATAATTTTTGTATGAACATCCTTACTGTGTCGGTCTGTCATCTTCAGTGCTGATTCAAATAACGGACAAAACACTGAAAATAATGACAGACTGAATCAGTAAGGGTGTCTGCTCAGTGCTCCCGCTATTTTTGATATGATAAATTCACGTAAGTACTGGCAAAAAAAAAACAAAAAACAACACCAATTGTTAAACAATTCCAAATAACTAAACATCATTCTGCATTTGTTTGGTAAAGGGCAATCTCTGCAGAACAAAGTGAAAATTACTATTGTACAATTCAATTTTGGATAAAGATATGTTTGTCTGGGTATGCTATATTCTATTACAAACTGCAAATGCAAGATAAGGCCCAAACTCACTATGCTAATTCATAAATCTATCATAAAGGCCCGTGTGAAATATGGGGAGCAGCGTCACCAAAATAAAGCAGCTACAAGTATTACAAAATAAAATATCACAAATTACAAGCGGTACATGAGGAACAACTAGATACACAAAGAACTATAACTTTCAACTATACCAAATTCAAAAAAGTCGACATTCAATTCCGGACTTAGTAAAGTCAAAGGTGCTATCCATTTCAAACTAGGAGGAATAAGCTAATACGTGTGAAGCCACATGTGAATTAGTGTAAAAACATATGATATAGTGTGATAATTTATTTTAAATTATAATGGTATTTATTAAGTAGCTATATTTCCTTTAGTGAATTCTGTGATGAAAAAATGTCAATGTGACGTCTCAAATGGTTAAATGTGAAATTTCTATACATACACTAATGTAAAACCCTGTGTATGTAGTTGGGCATGATTATAGTCAAAAATATTTTAAAAATTGGGTACCAAAATGATGTGCGATGAAGAATTGCAGGCGACGTGATTCCACAACGATGAGCGGGCGAAAAGAAAACAAATAACTTCGTAATACGGCGGGGTACTCGTAAATTGTAACTTCGATTACAAATCGAGAACAAAAAGAATTAGACAAACGCGTTCATCCACTCTCCAATACTAACTGGCCAGCTGGACCCCGAGACCTTTTTTTTTGTTTTTCGTCTCCATGGATATTTGAACAAATAAACAAATTTAAAAAAATGAATAAAATTCTCTCCGGCGTAAACATACCGCCCACCAAATTTCAATAGAAATTTCACTAAGAGAAAAGAGACGTTGCAAAGAGACCAGGATTGGAAAGATTCAGGGTTCAGGGAGCAGAGGAGATAGACGTGTAACCGGACGCGTATATTCTCCTGAGGGCGTTTTTATGCGCACAACTCGTACCACCATTGGTTAAGCAAAATCTGGAATAAAGAACTTTTAGAGAAAATTGCTTATGGCTCTTAAACAAAAAATCAGGACTACTTTTTATTTAGTTATAAATTAACTAAGGGGTTAGAATCTAGTACTAATTAGTAATTTCCTTTGTGTACAACCATTTCTCTCTACTCAATTTTGGGCATAGGGCTCAAAAATGAAACAATTTTCTATAATATTGTGAACAGACAAGGCAATATTAATTTTCTTCCTGGCAAGGAGAGTAAAAGAACCTACAACTAAGAAGATAACCCCAATTTTCACTTATGTCATGAAGTTTAAATTGACCTATAATTTTTGTTTCATTTTTAAATTGTAATAAAGCACTTTATACAGAAGATATGAGACAGTTAAATTCACCATTGTGATAGTTATTAAAGTGTCTTGTTCCGGCACTATAAAGTGATCAGTTTGCTGTCAACAGCTATTCAGCACCCAACCATGCAGTTCCAAACACAACACCTTGATTCTTAAATGATTTCACTCCTATTTACATAGCATTCATTCAATTTGGGTTATTCCTCCATCACTCTTTACACATATTATACAACTAACCTAATTGAGGGTCAATGGGGTACTCGATATTCAGCCAACAACCCTCTCACATCACACATTCACGCTAATAAATATATTCTCTCTCAACACAAACTAGGTATACACAAATATTATTATTATATACAATAGAACAACCCCCTTTCCTCCAAGAATCGGAGGGTTCTTAATTGAAAATTCACACATTCATGCTAATAAATACATTCACACAACACAAATTAGGTATACACAAATATTATTACTATATACAATAGAAAAACCCTGTTTCATCAAGGGAGTCGGAGGGTTCTTAATGGAAAATTATTTCAGATGAAAATAATATCAGGCAATTTAATGTAAAAAAAAATGGCTCTGATGATAGATATTTGTTAAGATGATGGGCAGGAAATAAATTGTCTTTTCTACAATAGGCATTTATTATGTCATACGCATTTCAGTCTAATACAGACCATCTCCAGTGACTTTGTTTTATATAAAGTGGTTTCACAGTTTATTCTTATAAGTTCATAAGTCCGTAGTTGTCCAGAAATCCACTTCTGAATGTATAAGAATGTAAAAACCGTCAAAAAATAAAAAAGTCACTGTAGATGGTCTATATTACACTGAAACGCATATGACAATAAATCCTTTTTGTGGAAAAGACAAGGAGATAGAATTTATTTTCTACCCATCATCTTACAGACCTTCACAAAATCAAGATGGACGCCATCAAAAAAATATTTTTTTTTTTACATTAAATTATTTTTTTTTTTTTTTAGTCTCATGAGCGGCTGAGCTGAAGGTTGTGGCTTCAAATCTCGGTCATGACACTTAACTTTTTCATCTCAACCAAGACTTTTCATAAAAATTAATTGAAATAATTAATATGGTCAATTAGACCACTTTATTGTAAAAGATAGATATTTGTGTTTTTGTCAACTAAGGTCAGGTAACGTTTCCAAGGGAAAACAAAAATTGTAACTCATGAGGTACTATAGATAGGTATAGGGGCTGTATGATGAAAGTTGTTGCAAAGGGTATACTGTCACCCAAAAAACTTTTTACGCTAGCTCTGTATTAACTGTTGTATTGTTTTGTTAGTGTTAATCTTCAATTCATGTTATTTGTGAGTGAATGGATATAGTTTTGGTCGTATTTTCAAAAACTAATCGTTTTGACATATACACTGGTTATTTAATTTAATTGTTAATAAAATTCCATACAATTTAGTCATTTGTTAATTTAAATCACATGTTCATTCATAAACTAGTTGTTTAGATAAAAGTGTAGTTCTAGTTTTTTGTTTTTAATTCAAAGTTTATAATTTTGTTGATCGAAAACCAGTTTCAAAGGGCATTTTATATATTTGTAAAGAAGATTATTGTGCCCAGCGGGTGGCGAAAGGATTCACGTAGTGAAAATTATTTTTGATTTGAGACGAAATTGGCGGGAATCCCGATTTCCCAGGATGCACTGAGCCGAATACAAAACCAAGATGTCGAACGTTAGTCAGATTTCATTCATGTAATTTATCCGTGTTCATCCTCCTACTTTGGGGGCATGTATATGTAAATAGTTGTGTCATTATAAATTGTAATATATATAGTGAAACGAGCCTTGTACATTTATAATATATAGTGGATTCCGTTTGTAAAAAGTCGAGAATTGTAATAAAAAAAAAGGGATAAAGAAACCACAACAAATACGGAAGGTAGAACGTACGGGAGGAAAAAACCGAGCTCAAGTGCATGTTTCAATCGAATTGAATTCGTTTTCTGTGGAACGAGAAGACCCAACGACAGCCGGAGGATCGAAACTTCAACGAGGAAAGAATCCGACGTTGTACGAGAATTGGAACTTCGCCTCGTTTACCGATGTAAGTCCCTCGATATCATAACCTAGTGTCGTCCCGATAAACGTGCTTCCCGGGATAACAATCTCTCCTCAACACTCTTCGTAATGACTTTATTACATTTTTACATATGGACAGACTTAATAAAATCAAATATCCGGAAAGGAAATGGGAAAAATCATTTTTACACTTTTTAATCACTTCTGCAAACAAATGCGTTCTCTAACCTCTTGCTTAAGACCGCCCATATTTGGCTGTTTGGCGAAAAGAAAACGTCTTAAAATTAGTTAAACGATATGGCCAGATAAATAATTAACAACGTTCGAATCATATTTGATACCCGTTTGGTATATTTCGCGGCATAATCCCTAATGCGATTTCATTATCAGCCCCCTGGTATCATTGCCAGCTACTTGTATCAATTAAAGGCGTCTGATTTATTTTTAGAACACGGCATATTCATTTTTGAAATTGATCAGATATAAACGTGGGAAAATAGCTCGGTTTTTTAATCGAAAGTGAGATAGAGTGAACGAGAGAGTGAGAGAGAAAGAAAAAATGGCATTTCATCCTTCCTTTGTTTAAACAATTACAGCTCTCCTGCAGATGTACACCAGGCTACAAATGCTGCATTCTAGTTTCATTTGTTTCTCCCGAAATTCGTTAAATTCATCATTTACAATTTCTTTTATACATTTGAGTACACTTGGTATGGTGATAAATATGGTTTGTTTTTCAAACCAAACAATATTTCTGGTTTAAACCTAAAAAAAAATCTACCCTTGATAATTGCATATCTGTTTTTATATACAACATGGGGTGCAAATCTTCATAATATTACCATGTCAGTTTGTTTGTTTTAAATTTCAATTTCAACATTATTCAATTATATACAAGCTTTGGGTAACAAATGAAAAAAATACCTGAATTGTTTAATTCATCTTCATGGATGTGCGATTTTGCATGTGGTCTGTGAGACGAGTAACAATTTATAATATAATTGATTGAGGTTTCAATTATTGTTTTCATCACACAAGAAAAATATTTATTATTAATTATTTAAACAGATATAAAATAACCCAGGAATTCCAGTCTTGAATTAGAACTTCTTTGTAAGGGCAAAAAAAGAGTAAATTGCATTTTTTTTAAATGACGCCAATATGGCAGCGATGGCAGTCATAAGGCCTGCTGTCGACCTGAATAGATCTGTTGTGCTCCGCTGCTTTTTTTTTAAAACTCACTGGCCATTTCAGGTTGTTAATTGACCTCCATGGCCTTGCCAGTAGCTCCTTAGTGTAGGATCTTGCTTGTGGGTTTTCCTATCTTAGTTGCAAGAACCTACACCCACATAAACCTTCTCAGAAACATAAATTTGTTCTGTCTGTACTCCTAGCCGGTGCATGTTTGCCTTTCTTAAGTGGTAGTGCCCTGTCAGTAGTCCAGCCAGAATCCTGGTTCGCTTGTGGTTGCCTTCCTGTAATTATTTTGTAAGTTTTGCGGAGGTCCTTTGCGTGCCTCATGCCTGGGATATTGTTCCACCAGGTTTTGGACTCATTAAGGATCTATTTTTAGATGTATCCTCTTTTACCAACATGGTAGTTCAATGGAAGATTGCAATGTTTCATTATTGTTTCGAAACAATATTACTTCAAACATACAATTATAGTTAAAATGCTATGTTTCAACTGATAATATTGTTTTGTTCAAAGTGTGTGGGTTTGAATCATGGCACTAACTTTTTCATCTCAACTGACAGCTTACATGAAAGATGTAATTAATTGAAGTATGTTTTAAGCTCTGTGTAATTCAGGACAAGAATAGACTGAATTGTTTTGTGTCTGTTTATATATATAATTGTCAATTGATTATTCTTTTTATCTAAGGTCTTGGTTGGGATGAAAAAGTTAATGTCACAAGTGGGATTTGAACCCACTATTAGCCGAAGGTCTATATTCAAATCCTTCACATGACACTAAATTTTTCATCTCAACCAAGAACATAAAAAGAATAATTAATTGGCATAATTAATATGGTCAGTTAGGACCACAAAAAAAAATAAAAAAAATAAAATTATATATATATTTTGATAGATAATGTCCATAAATATAATTGAGATTTTCTGGTATAATGACAATATTTTCAGTTCAGATGTAGCATCTTAAATGTTAATTGTTTCATAACAATGTTGGTACATTGCGATCTTCCATTGAACTTGGACAATTTGTTTTCCTTTTCCATCTTTCATGTTTCGAAGCGGGAAACTGAATTGTTTATATATTATATAGACAACATACATGTATTGCTTATCCCTTTTTTTTTAACCGTTTTGTTGCTGGTTCTTTTAAAATTTAATAAATCCAGTAGTTTCTCATCCCATTTATTTTGATAAAGACAACAATGTTGTCCAATTTAAATTTGCATTGTGCAATTTTGGCTAATTTATTTCTAAGTTTAATAATGATTAAACATCTATAAATCGCTTTAAAAAGGAAATATAAAATTATATCTCCAATAAGATTCATTGAGATTTATTTCCAGTTTTAGAATTCAGTGTTGAATATTTTTTTCCAAATCACATTTCCTTTGTCCCACTGAAGAATTAATCCATCGACTATGTTTGAATTATGCAACCCAAATTTTTTAAATTAAATTTATTTCATTGAAACAGATCTTACTAGACCAAACATGATACTTATAGAATTAATACATGTTTACATTCCTATAAGCCCATGGGTACAATGAGAGTGCAAGCCAAACGATACATTTTTATTAATTACACTTCAGTGTAAAATTATTGAATAATATATTATACGCACAAGTATTACATATACATACAATATATTACATACATATGAATTCTAGGTTTCAACTGAAAATATTGTTTATTCAATTACTTGAACATGATTAAAGAATAACAAAACAAATCTATTTTTACATTTGTACAACATATTTATGGTGCATTTATTGGGTTGTCCGGAAAATAATGCAGGATTTTGGTATTAAACAAAAAAAAAGAAACTAGTTACTTTAAAGCAATGTTCTTTAATCAAAATAATTTCCCATACTCTCAATACATTTCTCCCAACGTGTTGGTAACTTATTAATTCCGTCTGAGTAGAATTCAGAATTTTTAGAATTGATAAAGTCAATAAATGCATTTTCCAGTTCCGTTTGATTTTTGAATATTATGTGTTGTAAGTAGTGGTCCAGGTGTCTAAAAAAATGGTAGTCAGTAGGCGAGAGGTCCGGAGAGTAGGGTGGGTGAGGCAAAGTTTCATAGCCAAGCTCCAATAATTTTTGTGACGTTACACGTGACACATGTGGTCGAGCGTTGTCATGCAACAAAATGGGCCCTTTCCGATTGACCAAAGAGGGCTTCATTACTGCCAATTTCTGATGCATGGTATTAATTTGGTTACAGTATGATTCAGCATTGATGGTTTCGCCAGGATTTAAGAAGCTGTAGTGTATTAAACCAAATGAAGCCCACCATACCGTAACCATTACCTTTTTTTGATGAGTTGGGGGCTTTGGAAAATGTATTGGAGCTTCTCCTTTGTCGAGCCACTGTCCAGAACGTCTAGTGTTATCGTAGAGAATCCACTTTTCGTCACATGTAACAATTCTGGCCAGAAATGGGTCATTTTTGTTTCGACAAAGAAGTGATGCACAAACATCAAAGCGCTGATTTTTTTGGCGATCGTTTAATGAGTGTGGAACCCAATTTTCGAGTTTTTTCACTTTTCCAATCGCCTTGAGGTGGTCAGCGACGGTCGTTTTACTGACTTTGAGTTGCTCTGCAAGTTCTCGAACAGTTGTTTTGGGGTTTTCTTCCACCACTGATCGCAGAACATCATCATTAAGAGAGGAAGGCCTTCCACGACCTTCTTCATCTTCAAGGCTGAAATCTCCCTCCCGAAATTTTTTAAACCACCTTTGCACAGTGCACTCATTAACACAACCCTCGCCCCAGACTTGGTTAATGTTTCTAGCCGTTTGGGCTCCGCTTCGGCCGAGTTTAAACTCGTAAAAGAAAATCGTACGAAATTCTCGCTTTGACATTATAAGGATGACTGAATTATTTCCAAGTAGCGGAATGCTACAGAGGTAAACAAACAATATCATTTGGAAGAGGATTAATAAGTGTTGACATTCATACAAATGAGTAATCCTGTAAACGTAAACAGAATATTTTATATAGATTTTTTTTAATGAAAACTTAAAATCCTGCATTATTTTCCGGACAACCCAATAGTAGGCAGTTTGATTGCCACATTGCTCACACTGCAGTTATATTGGTACACAAAATAACTAAGTATTTCTGATTCTTATATCCAAGTAAATTTATTTTTTACTTCTTTTTTTTAGCAGTTAGGAGCAATAAACTAACTGGCATAATAATTGAAATAATAATAACACTATGATATCATAGGCTACTCTTCTATTTTCGATGAACTGACCTTTTCTACTAACCTGAGGCCCTAAGATAGGAGCCGGCCTCTTTATGACCTAAGTACCGCGACTAGTATTGGTAATTGTGCTTCTCAATTTTTTTTTTTTTATTTAGATCTCGTTAGGCTTGAGGCTTTTACCAGACCTCAAAGCTTTTTCAAGGGCTCCCGTGTGTATCCTTCAGACCCTGGCTTGTCCTTTCCCAGGATTAGGAATCTCAGTCCTCAGCCTTCGCACCAACAGAAGACGTGTTCTGGTTTCTTCTTCTTCTTGGCAATATCTGCACAAGCTTGTTTCTGCCACTCCGAGTCTATAGCTGAAACTGTTGTAGCGAACATTCTCTAGTAGTTGTAACCCAAGTTTGAATGCTCCATATTTTAGGAATCTTTTTTACACACTTTTTACACTGTCAATGTATTTTTGATGACAGGGAGACTTACATAAATGAGTTATCCTCAAGTGTTGGCGTAATTAATAAAATTGGTTGTTTCAATTAAAACATTGTCTTCATAAATATTAAGAAATTTTAAATATCATTTACATTGGTAAGAGTTTGCCGTACTTTTGGTTTCATTGAACATCAATAAATAGATGTATTTTTGAAACGTCAAAAATTAAAATTATATGAAATAACAATATTACATTTTATCTTCTAATTTAAAATTATATTTTCATTATCTGGTGTGCAATTATTTTAGAAGCTATTTTTACTTAATTTTGCACACAAAAAATGTTGAGTTTAAACTCTGAAAATTTAATTTTAATCCAAAAATCAAGTCATTAAAAAAGTCTAATTTTAATTTTTTATGTTTGAAATTGTATAACATCTATTGAAAGTTTGTCATTTATAAATGTTAAATTTATGTTGTAAATTGGTTCTTTGGGGGAAGGTAGGAAGGAAAATAAGACAAATTTAATGCACAATGGCTTGGGGTAAATGAAAAGTATTAGACAGATTTTTACATTGGATTACCTTGTCTCTGTTGAAATTGTGAAAAATAAATCATTGAATGTTACAATGACATCATTCAAACTTTCAAAAGACATTGGTTTTTCAAATAATTATGTTAATATATAAAATGTCGAATATTATTCAGGAATGATCAGTTTGGGTTCATCACCTCTCAGACTTTACCACATTTTACAGTTTGTAACAACGTTTCATGGTAATAGATTTAAATTTTGTTATATATAGTGGAAGTGTCGTGTTATTTTGTTGGAATGTAAAATTTGTGACTATTTGCATATATGAGATATGTTTGCTCGTTAAAAGTTTTGTTTAATCACAATAGTTCATTAACAGAATTGTTTTCAGTTTGTTCATCTGTATTGAAATTTACAAATAAGCCTAGTTTATTGCTGATTCATTTTTTGTTTTATGTACAACCTGAATTTTTGACTTCATTTCAGATAAATAAACAAATGAAGTGGCTTGCTGCTGGAGACTCAAGGGAAATGTTGGGGGAGAGCAACGGCATTGTACCTGCTCAGCAAGTGGCTAGGCAACAGCAATCTAACCAATCACAGGTGTGTAAATGATAATTACTAATTTTTGAAATGAAATAATTGACTAGGGAATGATCATGAACTATTCACACTTTTTAAAATATTGATAGTTAACATTTAAAATTATTTAAGTTGGTGTTTTGTTCACAAGATTTTGTTTAAAATCAAACTATTAATAAAATTATTACAATAGAAACCACAAAGTGTAATTTGTATATAAAGCTACTATTAAATACATTTAAAAATGTACACCATTCTGTTGTATTAACAGCTGTGTTATATACTGCTAATTATTATTGGTATTAAAATTATTAAATATAGTTGGACATCATAGGAATTACATCATAGAAAATTGTTTAGTAATTAAAAACCATCAGCATATCACTACTTTGAATCAATTTGCCCATTTTACATTTTGTTCAATAAATCTCAATTAACTGTGAACTCATAAATAGTAATGAGTCTCTGGTCACACATTAATTTTGCTGACCATAGATGAGTGTAAAGCATGAAATTAATAAGCCAAGATTCTAAATATTCTATTAATTGTTAACTTGAATATATTTTTCCACTTATTAATGCAGTTATTAATGTTTAATTTTATTTATGCAGATTGTTGGCAGCGGGAGTGTAGACAATGCCAGGACACGAGCTCAAGATGATGCCATGGTGGGTTACATTTATCAAAGACCCCAGGATCAACAGTGGTCACACCATAATTTGACCCAAGTAAGCATATGAATTTGCCATATTTTATATGTATATGGTTTTAAATTCGATCAAAATAAGTTAATTACAGGTAGATTTACCAAAACTCATAAGTTCATGAACTTTCAATTTTTTATTTTTATATAATATCTCATGAGATTTTCTCTGGGGCCTGTTGTTTGGTCATTTCCGATTATTTTGGGCTGCTTATTTTTTCTGTCAGCCTATATGGCCAAATTAATGATTAAAATATTGGTCTTCAATTATCTAATATAAAAAGAAATTAAAAATGAGGCATGAATTTTGGTAAAAACAAGTGTACAATTTTTAAAAGTGCTGTACCCATATTTGTAATAATATAGATTGGGCTAAAATCCAAATCACTGGATTGGAATAATATTGACAGATTATATTATTTGTTTCAGGGTGGAGGTGATGCGGTGATGTATCAGGATTTAAGAGGACCAGCTCAAATGCAAGAAATGCAGCCTAGAAACGGACAGGTAGGCGAATTCCATTTATCAAAAACCATTATTGATTGATCATGTTGAAATTATTTTTTGGAAAAACGGTTTTCTTGGAAAAATTAATTTTAAAATTCCATTTTTTAATTTATGCATCTTATGAAAATTATCACCATTCTAAAACAAAAACATTATTTGAATTAATTGAATATTTTAAAAATATTCTGAAAAATAATGAAGACAAATGTTATATTTTATTCTGTACACAGCGTACATGATAAAAAATACATTTAATCCTTTTTAAAAAGATAGTTCCTACTCACAGAAAGTTGTTTTGCCAAGATCCGGATTTTGAGCCCTTATCGACTTTTGCAATTCATGTTGAGAGACATGGTTGTAGAAATCCTTCAACCATGTATTTCAATTTTAAATTATTTATACAATCTTTTAAAATAGGTTGTTTCTTTAAAGCTGAGCTTCACAATTATTTTTTAAATTAGCATTAGCCCAGATTAATTTTTCTTTCTTTATAATCATACGGTTTTTATTTGATTTCAATCATGATCGATGTGATTTAGGTTTCAACACTTATATTTTAGTAAATGAAATTTTGAATAACTACGGTAATATGTGTGCACACTGTTTACATTAAAAAGAGTACATTTGGTTGTAGTTATCCAGTATATTGAGTTTAATTGCAACATAATCTTTGCAAATTTACTATGCAGAAATTAAAACGACCCTCTTGCAGAATCTCATAATGAAAATTTCTCATAATGTTTTGAGTCGTGTTGACGTGAAATTTCATTTCACAAATCTAATTTGTGCTGGAAGTTTTTTTTCTCTCTCCCCCCAACTCAATCTCTATTGAATAGTTGGTTGGCCAGACGTTTTGAAATATAAATTTAGGATTTTTCTCTTGCTATGCCCTCTGCTAAAATGACAGGCATGTTGCCAAAATGGAAAAATTTTGCTGATGTTTTGCACCATAAACCGGAAGCCTTGCCCTTCGATTTCGAGCTGTGGGATTTGTTCTAAAATAAAAATGACTTTATATGGTGACCGTTATCTTATCATTAAGTAAAGAAGTGGTGAAGTAAGTCCCTCTCCCAGGACGTGAGGTCTGCCCGGGGAATATATTCAAGGCTATCCGGTACTGCCGAGTGTCCGCATTGAAGGTCATTGTCTCCTGTTCCTACTCTCCGTAGCATTAACCAATATCCACGAGGTCTTTAGCTCTGAAACTGGAATTCCATTTTCAATGTTTGCCGTGTCTGACGGTTCACCGTCGACCAGAAGCCTTTATGAATCACGGGGAAAGTCCAGACGATGAAACCCAAAACGTCTTTAAGCGCATCTCCTAAAGAGTGTATATTAATATATATAAACAAATTTTAGTGATTGATAATTTACACGCTCAAAACAAACCTAAAATACAATTATTTATCCTAAAAAGTTCACTTATAACTGTTTTAAATAGGAATTTATTATTGTTTATAAGTCAAAATTTCATGTCGAAAGATTGGAATCTGAAAAGAATTAAATTTTTTTATTATTTTATAAACGGATGGGCATCAGACACGCGATTCAGTAATTTTTATTTGTCAGCAGTGTGATGGATCATTCCGGTCCACCCATTCTCGGTTTTTTCGTAATCGAGGGAAAAATTAAATTAAATCCTGGCTAACTCAACTTTTCGCCTCTTTGGAATTATCAGGATCGACTAAACAGACAGAAATCCGCCGGTTAAGGCAGCGAGACTAGGCGGACCAGGATTACTGGCGACAAACTTTAGTCATTTAATGACTAACAGCTCCCAGACCAACCATAAATGCCTTTTATATTTTCTTTATCTATAATTTTACGCTAAAAAATCAAACATCACACCGTATGCATACATTATAAATTTAATTATTTAAAATATTTTTTTGTAATTTATGCTTCAAACCTTTGTCCAACATACATCATATCTTTATCCATCTCTAAACATTTATCCTAATTTATCTTTTAACTATACCCGTGTATACATTCAAAAAGGTGATCAACATGTCCATTTCTGATTAAATTGCATTCTATTTTAATTATTGTTACAAGTAAAATGTGCCAGTTGAAGTTCTCTGCAGTTCGATCCTCCCTCCATGATTCTCTCTAGGTCTGTCATTTCTCACGGTTTGATATTGACAAAGGCACCGCCTTAATAAAACAGATTTGACAAGACGAAGTACAGGAAGGCAAAAATCTCGACTTTTGTATTTTGTACTACCTGTAATTTTTGCCACACGTGCCAGCCGTCAATGCCATATTTGTTCGTCTTTATACCGAAGATCTGCTTCATCTTCGTGACTGGTTTGTGTGGTGGTTGGACTAGCAACCAATAAACTATTTGGTGGCTAAGGATCTTAATTTTTTAAATTAAAAAATCACTCATTGCGTTAAAATCGTTTACGAAACACTCAATATTTCTACCAAAATAGGCAAATGCTAATTCAAAGACGGGAAAATGTGTTTGTATTTGGATGGTCATAAATAATTTTGTTTTGGCATTTTGTAGCTGCTAATGTCTCAATAGCTAGATCGCCCCTGTTTATCCTTATCCGCTGTTACCCGGTTTACCATCATCAGTTTTATTTCCGGACAAATTATGTTTTTAGTACAAAGAGAATAGCGTACGATGGACTTGTCGGTTCACTAATGGGATCGAGGGTAAATTGGTTGACCCAATTGGATTTTTCAAACTCTGTAATAAAGGTCAATAATAAGAGCCAAAGTTGTTCCAAATATATCTTTTGAGTCAAATAACTGTAAAATTGTACCAATATTTGTTTAGGATTATTTAAAAAAATAAAACCGTCCTCAATATCTTTATTTCCCTTGGTGTTAAGTAAATTTGAGCACCAAGAGAGACAGTGTGGGTTAAACGGGCAGGCTTTCCCTTTTTCGTCTGTCTGTTCTGTGCATAGGCAATGGAACCGGTATCTATTTTCTGACTATATGGACAGCCTGGATTTCTCCACCGACTGTACCCGGTCTATAGACCGGCTCCGCCCTCGACTGTACGGTACAGCGTTGCCTTGGCAGCGTTTTCCCGCCAACAAATTGCCCCCGCGGTGGCTGTCGGCCGAGGGTTGTTTTGGTGACGACGATGGAAATTTCCCGATGTTTGTCGAGTCGATTAGAGATGGTTAGGGATCAGTCGATTAGAATTTAATAGTCGATGAGTCGATTAGAAATTAATAGTTTCCATAAAAAAAGAAACAAAGGCGGTAGCAACTGACAGGAAATAAATGGAACGCCGGACATCCATCTAAATTATTTGATCTAAAAAATACAAAAAAAAGTTTCTGCAGTTAAGTGGAGGTGATCTGTAAGGTATTTTTAATATTATACTCGAAGACAAAGAAACCCGGACACTCGTACTTGGTTGTTTATTTCAATCCATATTTATATTAATTAAAACATACTTACTTTAATGTGAACCAAATGAAACAAGGTCAGAAATTCTAGATTAAAAAAAAATCATAATTTGTTGAAGTTTTGAGGAGCCAAGAATGAGGTAGTTCAGAAAAACAGCTTTTTTTGCCAACGTTTCGACCTTTATTTCGGGTCATCTTCAAGGCCAGGGAAATTGCAAAACATATGTTGATTGGAAAAATTACAATTTAAAATATAAATATAAATTTTGAACCAAGTCATTCATACTCACAAAAAACAGCAGAATACAAATTCACGTTTCACAACAGTTTTACACAAAACCAATACGACACCACATGAATAGCATCACACTTTATGTGAGTATGAAATTCTTGGTTCCAAATTTATATTCACATCTTAAATTGTATTTTTTTCCAATCAACATGTTTTGTAATTTACCCAGGCCCTGAAGATAACCCGAATAAAGGACGAAATGTCAGTGAAAAAAAAGTATTTTTTTAAACTACCTCAATCTTGACGCTCCTCACGACTTCGACAAAGTTTGAAATAAATTTCATCAACACACCTGAAAATGATTTAGTGATAGATTAACTTTAACTAACAATTTATTACCTGTTTTTGCTCTTAATGCGTTATAAAGAGTAATAATCGGCAATTTTTTAAAAAGAAATTCGGCCAGGTCCTCTTATTGACGTTGGGTATATATAGCATTTGGTAAGTTTTTCTAGTTATTCGTATATCCTTTTTATCCTCAATTCTGGCGGCTTTATCATGATATCGTTCGTACAAGATTAAAAGAACGTAGGTGTGCGGAAATAAAATTTTATTTTAAATTTTAATAATCTAAGCCCTATTCGACACGGTTTTATAAGAGGGCGACCTATTACAGTCATCGACCGAGAGTTCAGAATATTAACAATATATTTCAAATTAAGTTTAAAAAGTAACTAAAGGTTGAATCTGAACGTATTATATGAGTTGGGTTGCAAGATGGAAAATCACTGGTGTTACTTTCCTGTACTCAAGGATTCAGTCAGAGCTTTATATGAAACAGTTTTGTAATTTCTTTGATCAGCAGCTTCTACGTTCTGATGTAACCAGAAATCCCTTCTGTCATGAAATCTACCCCTATCTTGTACGAAACCAGGCAGGAAGATATGCACGGTGGAGATTCGTGTCGAAACTGTACAAGAAGTTTCTAATCTCAAGGTTCAAAAAGTACGTAAAAGGTTACGTGCTCATTTGGAAAAGGATATTTTTGCTTTACTTTCTTACTCCTGTGGTTGTCCGCTATTATACAATTGGTCGGAATACATGTCATTGAGGGCTTACGTAATCGCTGTTCATCACGCGTCGTTTTCTGGTATAATAAGGTTTAAAGGAGTGGAAAAGACATTTTCACGGCGTAATGTCATGGGTAACGATACTTGAAAAAGAGGTCTCTGTAAAGGCATCACGTCGCGACCCCCCCCCCATGGGAGGGCAGATTTCCTTTCTTTGCCGGCCTAAGTGGGAATCAATTTAAATTTCAATATTTTCCCAATACTGAAAAGGGAATTTTCTTATTATTTACTCGTTACATATAGGCCGCAATCTACATCCCGGGG